CCCCATAGCATCACCTGTGTGGTAGTGGCGGATCCCTCCACCCTATATCACACACAGCATCACCTGTGTGATACTGGGGGACCCCACATCCCTCCATCCCCCCATAGCATCACTCATGTGATACTGGGGGACCCCTCAGCCCCCCATCCCCCATAGCATCACCGATGTGGGTCCCTGGTACCCAGGGCTGACACCGCTGTCCCCCCCCCCCCAGGGCTCATCGTGTACCTGGGCATGATGGTGGGCGCGTTCCTGTGGGGCGGGCTGGCCGACCGCCTGGGCCGAAGGCAGTGCCTCCTCATCTCCCTCTCCGTCAACAGCGTCTTCGCCTTCTTCTCCTCCTTCGTGCAGGGCTACGGCACCTTCCTCTTCTGCAGGCTGCTCTCGGGCATGGGGTAAGGGCACCCACGGGTCGGTGTGCTGACGTCCCCCCCTTGCCCTCCTGATGCCCCTCTCTTTGCACCCCCAGCATCGGCGGCTCCATCCCCATCGTCTTCTCCTACTTCTCCGAGTTCCTGGCGCAGGAGAAACGCGGTGAGCACCTGAGCTGGCTCTGCATGTTCTGGATGATCGGCGGCATCTACGCCTCGGCCATGGCCTGGGCCATCATCCCGCACTACGGTAAGGGGGCAGCAGCACCGGGCTGGGTGTGTTCTCAGCCCCATAACCATGTGTGCACTGAGCTGGGTGTGTTCTCAGCCCCATAACCATGTGTGCACCGAGCTCTCCGAGTTCTCAGCTCCCACCACGCCTGCTCTGAGCTCTGTGGGATCTCAGCCCTGTCACCACGCGTGTGCCGAGTTCCGTCGGTCTCAGCTTCCACCATCCGTGTGTTGAGCTCTGCGGGGTCTCAGCCCCCTGCTGTGCCCCCTCCTCACAGGCTGGAGCTTCCAGATGGGCTCTGCGTACCAGTTCCACAGCTGGAGGGTCTTTGTCCTGGTGTGCGCCTTCCCCTCCGTCTTTGCCATCGGGGCGCTGACCACCATGCCTGAGAGCCCCCGCTTCTACCTGGAGGTCAGCGGGGCCGGGGGGCAGCCGCATCCTGCCGGGGGCTGGGGGTGAAGGTGGGACTCCCAAATGGATGCTGGGGTGGGGGTGAGACCCCATCAATGGATGCTGGAAATGGAGCGGAGACCCCCGGGTGGCTGCTGAGGGTGGGAAAGGGACCCCCAGAGGGATGTTGGAGTTGGGGTAGGGACCCCTGGATGGATACTGGGGTTGGGGGCGGGTGCTGGCAGTGGTGTAGGGACCCCCAGGGGGCTGCTAGGATGGGGCAGGGACCCCCATAAAGGTGCGGGCGATGGGACAGGGACACTGGCATGCGTGCGGATGGGGCAGGGATCCCAGGTAGGTGCTGGGTGCGAAGCGGGGACCCCGTGAAGGTGCTGGGGGTGCGGCGGTGCCCCCCAAATGGGTGCTGGGGGGTAGGGCGGCGTTGGTCCCAGGCTGAGCCCCGGCTCTGCCCTGCAGAACGGCAAGCACGACGAGGCCTGGATGGTGCTGAAGCAGGTCCACGACACCAACATGCGGGCCAAGGGCCACCCCGAGAGGGTCTTCTCGGTGAGGTCCGGCCCCCCACCGGTGCCGCCGGTCCCGTCTGGATGCCATCGTCCCACAGCCATCAGCCCCGTTCTGCTCTCATCTGCCCCATCTCAGTGCCACCAGCCCTGTCCCAATGCCATCATCTCTGCCCCGGTGTCACCAGCCCCATCTGAGTGCCCCCACACCAGTGCCATCCATCCCACCCGAATCACCCCACACCAGTGCCATCCATCCCACCCGAATCACCCCACACCAGTGCCATCCATCCCACCCGAATCACCCCCTACCAGTGCCATCCATCCCACCTGAATCACCCCCTACCAGTGCCATCCATCCCACCCGAATCACCCCCTACCAGTGCCATCCATCCCACCCGAATCACCCCACACCAGTGCCATCCATCCCACCTGAATCACCCCACACCAGCCCCACCAGCCCCACACCCAGTGCCAGAAGTCCCATACTGGTGCCACCCACCCCCATAGTGGTGCGTATCCCCCCCCACCCGCTGCTTCCCCTGCCAATTTCCACCTCGGGGAGCGGCGTCGCCTGATGGGGAGGGCGATGGAGGGGTGGGGGGGTGACAGCGAGCGGGGAAACTGAGGCACGGGCGCCTGCAGGTCACCCACATCAAGACCATCAAGAGGGAGGATGAGCTGATTGAGATCCAGGCGGACACGGGCGCATGGCACCGCCGCTGGTTGGTGCGCTGCCTCAGCCTCTCGCAGCAGGTATGGGGTCAGGTTCAGCCCCACAGCCGTGGGGTCCCTGCTGTGTCCTGTTGTCCCACCTCTCATCCTCCAACCCTGCAGGTTTGGAGCAACTTCCAGCAGTGCTTCGCGCCCGAGTACCGCCGCATCACGCTGATGATGATGGCTGTGTGGTTCACCATGAGCTTCAGGTGGGGTCTGGGTGGGTGCCTGGGATGGGGGGCATTGGGCTGGGTGCAGGAGTGATGGGGTGGGGCTGGGAATGGGGCTGGGGGTGACGGGATGGGTACAGGAGAGATGGGATGAGGCTGGGGGAGATGGGGTGGATACAGGAGAGATGGGATGGGGCTGGG